GCTTTAATAGGCAGTTCACAGAAGAGGAAATCCAAATAGAAAATGAAAAAGTGTTCAACTTCTTTTGTAATCAAGGAAACACAAATTCAAATGAAAAGGAGACATCATTTTCTACTGACTAGACTAGAAAAAAATTAAAGGCATGACAATATCAAGAGCTGGTGAGGGTATAGAGTAGATGGATCTCTTAGACACTGACAGGTAGGAGCTGGTGTTTCTATTTTGGGAAACCAGTTAGCATTATTCATATAAAGTTAGACATGTGTGTACCCTACCTTCCAGCAAGTTCTTAGATATGTGTTGTAAAGAAACTCTTGGGATGTGTATTTGAGGAAATACATAAGAGTGTTCACAGGAGAAATTTTTTTAGTATAAAACATTGGAATCAACATTAACGTTTGTTGGCAGGGTAATAGATAAATAAATTACGGTGTATTCCATATAATGAATTTGATGCAGCATATTGTGAATTATGGCTACATATTTCATTTGGATGAATCTTGGGAATGTGCGTTTCAGCAATAAAAAAAGCAAATTGCAGAGATTACGTACTTTATGGTTTCATTTTACATAAATTTCAGAAGCGTACTAAATACTGTGCCAAATAGAATAGGAGAGTAATGAAAACAAAATCCAGGATAACGGGTACCTCTGGAAGGGTTAGGGAAGTAGCATGTCACTGGGGTGGGGCCACATGGGGGTTTCAAAGATCTTGGAAATTTTATATTTATTTAGCTGGTGGTGGGTACACAGATATTCTTTTTTTTTTTTTTAAGATTTTATTTATTTATTTGACAGACAGAGATCACAAGTAGGCAGAGAGGCAGGCAGAGAGAGAGATGGAAGCAGGCTCCCTGCTGAGCAGAGAGCCCGATGCGGGACTCATCCCAGGACGCTGGGATCGTGACCTGAGCCGAAAGTAGAGGCTTTACCCACTGAGCCACCCAGGTTCCCTACACAGATATTCATTTGATTGTTATTCTTTATATCTTACAGTACAAAATTTTTTGTAGGAATTAAATATTTAACAAAAATTGAGTCTGTCATTATTACTTATTATATTCTTTGGTAGGCTCACATTTATTCTTTTATCATGCCACTTCTAACATTCAGAAACATATCTTGGGGATTTTAATTAGTAGTAGCCTACTTAATCTATTTATTAAATTGGGGAGCATTCTTTTTTTTGCTTTATTAATGTTTTCCAGCTAGGAGAGGTAGAGCTCTTGTATTTTATTTCTCTCATTAAGGTTTTATTATTCTGTTTGAATAAGTTATTATGGCTCAAGGACATCCAAGAATTTAATAACATAATGCTTTCATTACTGTTGTGAGTGGAAACATTTCCCTGTGTTTCTGAGCTGAGACAATGGCTTGCATGCTGAGACACTGATTTCCCCCCCAAACTACCCATTCCCTTTGGATTTTCCAGGTAGGCAAACAAGTCATCTGCATTTTATATATTTTTTTCACTTCCTATATATTATACTTTTTCATTTCTTTTTTTCCCTCCAGTAGCTATTGCTCAAAGAAACATGATATATAAAGTAGGAATGGTGACAGAAAGCATCAGACTTGGAAGTCAGAAGACATGGGTTCGAGTCCTGGCTTTACCATATAGTAGCTGAGTAACTTTAGGCAAGTTAACTTAATCTCCCTGAGTCTGTTTCTCCCGTTTCTTCATCGGGAAAATGAAAGGTTGAACTTAATTACTAAGGTTGGTTCTGGTTCTGAAATGAGGCCATTCTAATGCGTTTCCATTAAGTTGGACTTGCTCTTTATCTTAGTCTCTCTGCATTGCAGGGTTTGACTTTGTCTATAGTTTTAATCAAGAATAGATGCTATAGGCTACAGAATATTACCTTCACACGTACTGAGAAAATGAGATTTGAATTGTAGATTCCTCTTTTCCATATTATGATGAAGCCAGTGGTCGCCTTGCTCACATTGTTCCTGTCTTCCAGAGAGAGGTAAATTGTCTGTATTGTTCCACATAGAGGAAAATCACTGAAGGTGATTCTTTGGCTACGAGGGCAGATTGGGTTAGTTATGGTTTCATTTTAGATTTTCCTGTATGTTCACAAGTTAAATTCTGACCATATGTTTTTGTTCTTTTTTCCCCCTTTGTGTGTGTTGCCTTTGTTCATTCCATTTTTTTGTTTTTAAAATATTCTTGTGCTCTTTATGTAGAATAGAGATTATTGATTTATTCTTTAAAAGTTGGGGAGTTATTTAAGGACTCCATCAGGGCCAGAAGATATTTTAAATGTTTGACCTTGTTTCTTGTGTGGATCCACTCACTTATTGGGCCTCTTTGAGGAGGGCACCCAGTTGGGTGCAGCTGGACGGCCCCTTGCCTGGGACCACTCGGAGTTCTGCTACTAACTCCCTCCAGAACCTATAATAGGTCACTTCCGTTCTCTGACTTTTCTCATCTGTAAAATGGGGACTGCAGCTGGCACCCAGATGGGGTCTGAGGCAATGGTGGGGGTGCTCTGTAAACTCCCTGCCCTCTCTCTGGGAGGGGCCTGATAGATTGGGCAGCTTGTATTTTTACAGGTGTTTGTCCGTTTCCACTCAGTTTCCAGACTCATAGAAAGAGCTAAGACTTAACAAGCCTGTTGCCACATGCCTTTAGAATATTTATTTTGCAGATTTTTTTTTGTTTCCTTTATTCTTAAAACAGGGGAGGGGGAGGAGACTTTAAAGATGTATTTATTTATTTATGTCAGAGACAGAGTGCACACAAGCAGGCATATTTAAAAACACAAGCATTTTATTTTTTAAAAGAGATTTTATTTGTCAGAGAGAGAGAGCTAGAGAGAGCACAAGCAGGGGGAGCAACAGGCAGAGGGAGAAGCAGTTTCACCCCAGAGTAAGAAACCCAATAGGGGCTTGATCCCAGGACCCTGCGATCCAGACCTGAACTGAAGGCAGAAGTTTAACTGACTGAGCCATCCAGGCATCCCAAGGCGGGGCTTGAAGTAGCAAAGGGTAGCTTTGCATTATTTCCTGTGAAGTTAAAATTTTTTTATTTATGTCACTAATAAGAAGAGAACTCTTATTGTAACACAAGGGTGTCTTTTCTTCTTACTTTATTGTGAAAAAACTTTGGAACCTCTTTTCTCAGGATCCTCATGGATTCATTTATATAGCATTTCCTCCCAAAAGCTTTAAAAGTTAGCTTAATGCTTTTTAAGAAGTGGAGCTAAGGGAAATAATTCAGAGCAACTGAGATTAATTTTACTTAGTAACAGAAAGCTCATAAACAAGAATGTTAAGTTATATGAACAAGGATATATTTGTTTCCCTTTTCTAGAATATATACTTCCCAGCTCCAAGATTGAAGCCTGGCACATAGTAGGTGCTCAAAAAGTATTTGTTGAATGACTCAATTAATGAATATGGATAGCTTGAATTTTTGACTTTAATATGTGCATGCTTTTCTTTACTAATGAGACTAATGGTTTATTAGCTTTTTATCATATACATGAATATTATTTCTGCTTATGCAACCTGTGGCTTTTCTCAATTTTACTCACTCCTGCGACTGGCTATGGTATTGTAATACTTTTTCTTTTTCCCCTGTTGGTCTTCTCCACTACCTCCTTCTAGACTCTTCAGATGGCTTCTATTAATCTCTTATTCCTTTCTTCCTCCCTCCCTCCCTCCCTCCCTTTTTTTCCTTCTTTCTTCTGGTTCTTTTTCTCATCACTCATGTATTTCCTATTCATTCATTCATTCATTTAAAAGGTATTCAAAAAAGCACCTACTCTATGCCAGACTGCTAGGAACGGGGGAGATGGGGGTGAACAAGATGGTCATGATCTTTGGGGTCATGGAATTTAGAGTCCGACAGGGAAGACAGGCCTGAACAGATACATTTCATAAATACCTAATTATAAATTATGACAAATGCTATGAAGGCTAAGCTTGTTGGGGGGAGTATGGAGCCTTAGGAAAGGCTTTCATGAAGCCGTTGTAGCTGAGATCTAAAGGAAAATTAGGAGCTGGCAGGGTTGGGGCCTCAGGGAAGAGCAGGGGGAGGGCTGGGGTTGGGGGAAGGGAAGCGAGGTTTCCCTAGAAGCCCAGAGTAACTGGCTTAATGGAACATGGTAGCGCAGCGGGGACGAGAGGACTCAAGGGCACAGTCAGGGCTTTCTCATATCCGTCTTTCAGTCAGGACTCCTCCTCTAGGACCTGCCTGGCAGAATCTCACACTGTGACAAATTGCACTGGCTGTCCGCAAATGGTCTGTGTTACAGATTGCTTTTCTGCATTTTTAAGTCATCTAAGAAAAAAAAATTTTAATTATATGTAATTTGTAGTTCTGTCTTTGGGCAAGTCACATAACCTCTTAAAGCCTCGGTTTTCCTGAAGTGGGAGGAATTTTGTCTACCCCTTGGGGTCCTCTGTGACCTCTGCCGGGTCACCCTGTGATTACCTGTTGAAGGCCCATCTTCCTCCCCAGACTGAGAGCTGAGGGTGGGGGAAGGTCTAACTCACCTGTGTTCTTCTGGCTCCCATGACAGGGCCTGGCATGGAATGAGGGCATCTGGGAGGCCTTCACAGAAGAGGAAGCCCCAGGGCTGGGCCCAGAGGCCAAGCTGAATTTGAGAGAGGGGGAAGGGCTGGAGAGATGTGGACAGACCCCAGGTCTGGAAAGTGGCAGATAGGTCAGTGAGGACCAAAGCAGAGAGGAAGTAATGATAACAACGATAATGATGGCGCTATCTCACTGGGCCCTTGTCGCGTGCCAGACACTGGTCTAAATGCCCTACATATACTCATTTATCCTTTCAGTGACCCTATGAGTTAGGTAGAATGTATGAGGCAATGAATGCAAAGAAGGAGGAGGGGCTTAAATGCCAGGCTAGAAGCCCCTTCAGTCTTTATTGTACTGGTTATGGGAGCCATGGAAAGCTTTTGAGGGAGGGAGTGCTCAGGCTGTGCTCAGGGTGCCGAGGAAAGCTGAACGTGACTGTGCCTCTCTCCTGCAGAAATCATCCACGGATCAGCCCCTGTGCAGCAGCAGCCTGTGGGGCCCTGTGGCCGACGGCCAGGACTGCGTGGCTGAGGGCCTGTGGCTGCCGCAACTACACGTAGGGGACTGGCTGGTCTTTGAGAACATGGGCGCCTACACCGTGGGCATGGCTTCCCTCCTCGGGGGGACCCAGACATGCCGAGTCACCTATGCCATGTCCCGGGTGGCCTGGTAAGGGGGCCCTGCTGAGAAGGCAGTAGGGGAAGAGAAGGGAGCAGGTGGGGAACAAGAAATCTGAGATCTGAGACTGGTTTCCATGTAATCCAGTTTGACGAGTAGCTCTTGGCTATTGATTCCAAGTGAGGCCTGCGCTTGGCACCTGGCCGTGGCCATGAAGGAGACAGAGCTTCCCTTGAGCAGCTCAGCACCCTGTGAGAGACACAGAGCAGCAGACGGGCCTCCTGATAATACGGGGGCGGGGGGTGGGGGGCGCCAGGTCGGGCTGTGGAACCGGAGAGCCCTCCCTGATGCCCAGACTGACCTCCCAGAGGAAGGAAGATATGGGAGTCAGCCGGCAGGAGGCAGCGGGGGCTCCGGGCAGAAGGAACAGAGAGTGAGCCGCTGCCTTCAAGAAACCACCTGAGGTTGGTTGTGGCTGGAGAGGGAGCAGGGCTGGATCTGCGAAGGGCCTTGAAGGCCGAGTGAAGGGCTTTGAGCTCTGGGAATCATGGACTGATATGAAGCAAGGGAGAGACGTGGTCCGGTTTGGATTTTAGAAAGAGCACTCTTGCTCCTGGGGGCAATAAGGGAGGACGGGGGCAGACGTGGATTGAGCAGACTAGTTGGGTGGCTGTTCTGTGGCCTGGGAAAGACTTGCCTGCTGACTGAGCCTTCTTAGGAAATGCACACCACACTCCCCCTGCTTGCCTGACTGGGCCGGTGCTGGGATCCAGTGAGGCAAGAGGGGCACAAGCCCTACAGAAGTCACGTTTGTTGAACCCTCCTGTCAGGTCTCTCCTCTCCACTGCACAGAATCAGTGCTATCACAAAGAGGGAGGTTTGGTCAGTGGTGAGGGGACTGCTGTGGGGGTGGGGAGGGACAGAGCAGTCAGAGGGCCTTCCATGCTGGGCCTCAGGAGCGAGTGCAGACTGTGCTCTGGGGGACATGCTGGATGCTGGAGCACCCCGCCCCCCAACAGTGGTACCAACCCCCAGCCCTCACGGGGCTCAGTCTCAATGGCACATTTCATTCATCCAGACCTTTGTTGTATCTGTTCCCCCCAGGGACAGAGGTTTGGGCCAATGCAGCTGTTGTGACATCAGGGGTATTGTGACAAGGCTTGAAAACTTAAAAAGCCAACCACACAGGGCTCCTTATCCCGCCGCTGCTCCATCATAGCAAACACTGGGAGATGGGGTGCAGGAAATACCTTTATTCCTTGCTAGAAACAAAACATTTTTATGTATTAAACTGGCTGTGCCAGAAAGTATCAAAGGAGCCCCGCCCAGACATCCTGCTTTTAGAGCCTGGCTCTGTGCCAAGTCCCAGCGCGGTGAGAGCACCCGAGCCGGCGTGGTGACCTGCGCACACAGACGCTGGTGCAGAAGCAGGAAGGTCACTCGGGAGCAAGGGACAGCAGGGTGGCGGGGTGGTCAGGGCTAGGAGTTAGCCAGGTGCAGGAAGGCAGATGTGGGGTTGGTGGTCTGGGCTGAGAGATGTGGGGGTTTGAGTCCAGTGCCGTCAAAGAACTGAAAATAGTTGCATGTGGCTGGAGTGGCCTGTGCAGAAGACTGGATGGCGAAGGACCCTGGAAGCCTAGGTTGGACTTGATCTCAAAGGCAGTAGGGAGTCTGTCACGGATGCCTTTTAAGAAACTGGACCAACCCATTTTGAGAAATAAGGAGATAGACAGAGGGGACTTGGCTGGGGAGCCTCCCGCTGGAAAGAAGAGCCTGGCCACTGACTTCCTGTTGAAGTGAACACGTCAGCAAAGAGGGAGGCCTCCCTGCAGGTGGGAGACTGGGCTTGACAGGGCCTGAGAGCAGACCGAAGCTGCTGGTCGCTCAAGGGTGGGAATGAGCCTCCTGGAGAACTGGATTGTCTGGGTTAGAATTGTCTGGAGGAGGCAGGAGCAGACCGGCTAGAGATGGTGGTGGCCCTGGGAGGTGGATACCCACCAGGAGGTTCAGAAGCTGGGCTCGGCAGGGATGGATTGGGCAAGGAACAAGATTCCGGACTTGTGGCTGAGCAGCTGGTCAGACGGTGGGGCCATTTATCAACCTGGGTAGGTAGGTTTGTAGGATTTTTTGAGGGGGGCCGGAGATGATTTTTTTTTTAAAGTCCTAAGCCTGGGGTATAAAGAGTGTGGGCCTTGGACTGAGAGAGTTGTGGCGAATCCTAGTTCTCCCACCTTCTAGGGATGTGACCTTATGCAGGTCACTTCTCTCCCGGCCTCAATTTCCTCATTGGTAAAATGGGGATGATAATGCTGCCCTTACGCGGTTTGGGGGAGGACACAATTAGATGCTCTAAGAAAGGTGCCTGGCACAATGTGTGGCCTGTAGTAAGTACCCAGTAAATGTGGGTCCCATTTCCCTTGTGGAGGTGGGCCACAGGGGAGAAGAGAGCGCTGGGGGAAGAAGTCAGCAGACCCACCCCCATTCCTGCCCGAGGCTGGGCTCTGGGGCCAGGGGGGAACCCTATATACAGAGGGGGCTGGCTCTTCTGATGCCGGGGTCTTCTCAGGAGCCCCTGGCCTGTGGGCCCCATGCTGGCTGCCTCCAGTGCCCCTCTCTCGCCCACAGGGAAGCGCTTCGAGGGCAGCTACTGCCTACAGAGCAGGACGAGGACACCGAGGGCATGTGCAAGCCTCTGTCCTGTGGCTGGGAGATCACAGACACCTTGTGCGTGGGCCCGGTCTTCACCCCGGCGAGCATCATGTGAGCGGACCCCGTTTCCCCCCGGAGAACTCCAGCGGGGCCGCAGAGATGCCTCTGGGAGACGTGAGGAAAGCAGCAAACAGGGGCAGCCTCTGGCCAGGACTGTGGTGCTCGCTCTGCTTCCCCCCACGCTCCGCCTGTAGTGTTTCTGCCCTGTAAATAGGACCAGTCTTACACCCGCTGTAGTGCAAGTATGCAACATAAATCCTGTCCCTTCCAGCTGTGTCTGCCTCCTCTGCAGCGCAAGGGGCCTGGTCAGCCAGGTGTGGGGTGTTCTCGGGGTCTCCCTTGGTCTCCTTCCCACCTTTGTAAATATGAAGCAAATAAATATTTAGGTTTTTTTTTTTTTTTTAATACTCCAGTGGAATCTAGCTGTTCAATTCACAAAGCAGCCTGGGCGAGGCCAGGGCCGAGACTTTCCCACCCAATATGGATGACCCTATGCCCTCTGCATCAGTCCTGACCCAGCTGTGGTGTGGGCATCTCCCATGGCACCCGGCTTCTCTGACTCACCTCTGTGCTCTGCAGCAGCTGCCATGCCTGGTGTCATGAGGAAGAGTGAGGTGTCAGGGATTGAGGCAGGGGTCAGAGCTGCCATCCTTCGGCCCGGGACTTGTAGCTCCCCGCTGGTTGAGGGACCTCTATGGAACCCAAGACCCAGCCTAAGGCCTGGTCCAATGTGGAGGCAAAGAGCAAAGAAATGGGTGTCAAGAGACGTTCTGAAGAGACCCTGCAGCCTTACCATCCTTGTAGGTATGTAAGGCAGTAAGAGTAATGCAGAGATGGGGAGGTTGGTTTTGCTTATCCAGGCAATAACTACCAGAGCAGGGCTGGCCACAGAGCACTGCCACGTCCAGTGCCGAGGGGCCTGATACTGATATCTCCTAAACTGGAAGTTCAGTGTCACTGCTGGAGTCCCAGGCAATGCACCCCGGGGGGAGTGAGCTGCTTAGCAAAGGAGATCAGATTTTAGAGTTCCCCTAGCTGCTACAGGGGACCTGAAAGATTTTTCTTCTGTAATTAAGAAAAACTGAAATATAAAACTCACATGCCTTAAAACCCACCCTTTCCAAGTACAGAATTCATGGTTTTTAGTATACTGAGTCTGTACAACCATCACTACCGTCCAATCCCAGAACATGTTCATTACCTTGAAGAGGAAGCCTGTGCCCATTAGCATTCACGCCTCACTTCCCCCTTCCCCCAGGTCCTGGCAGTCACTACTCTACTGCCCATCGCTGTGGATTGGGCTATTCTGGACATATCATTATGAATGTTTTTATACCCTCACTTGAGCTTCTGTCTGGGTAAGCGTGGTACATGGGTTTTTTTCCCACACTGCCAAGCAATTCTCCGACACCAGCTGGGTGCCCCTGAGTTCAACTGGATTCTGACACTATCTGCCCAGAGACAGCTTTAGATCCCACAGGTCAGGGGCTCAGTCCTACAAGACCACCCCACTCTCCCCCTACTTCAGACCCTGATCTCCCAAGTCCAGGTCATGACCTGTGTTTGGACCAACGGGCTATAGACTGGAGGTTCCAATAACCCGCTTCCTTGGGCTTAATGAATTTGCTAGAGTGGCTCATGGAACTCAGGGCAACCCCTTCCTTATATGTTCTTGTTTTATGATGAAAGGATGTAACTCAGAAGAGCCAGAGAAAGAGCTGCACGGGGTAAGCCCTGGCGATGGTGCAGCGCTCCAGTGCCCTCCCCAGGCATCAGTCTCCCAGCATCCCCATGTGTTCACCAGCCTGGAGGCTCCCCAAACCCTGTCCTGTGCGGCTTTTATGGAGGCTTCATTACCTAGGCAGGACTGATTAGATCATTGGCATCGGCGACTGAACTCGATCTCCAGCCTCCTTCCCTCCCCAGAGTTGGAGGGTAGGATATAACAAAAGACACCTTTGTCACCTCGTCACTTAGGAAATTTTAGCATCTCCGTGCCAGGAATGGGGATGAAAACAAAGCACATGTCTGTTATTGAAAGTCACGATATCATACCTGGTCTGCCAGTTTTAGCGTCTCAGCCAGTCCTGGGTCCTGCGTGTGGCTCTGAGGTCCCCTCACGAGGCAACATATTCTGAGTGAACTGGGTGCTTGTCTAAAGCAGAGATGCCTTTTCTGGGCAGAGCCTAGTTTGTGGTACTTTGACAATAAGCAGGCTGAAAGGTCAGGACCGCAAGAGATGCAGGGACCAAGCAGCCAGGGTCCCTGTATTGCTGGCTGGTTCTCCACGCACCACCAGTTTTCCCATCTTACTGTGCCGGGCTCCGGCCTTGTGGGTGAGGCTGTTTCGAAGACTTCTCATGTTTTGATGCCTTTTTGATGCTGGAGCAGATCCGGACCCGCTCATGCTTGTTTGGCGGAGAGGGAAGGAGGGCAGACACAGGTTCTGCCGGAACTGGCCATCTGCTTCCAAAGGCAGCAGATGTGCTGCTAAGAGCGCTGGCTGCAGGGAGATCCAGGCATAACTCATTGCCTTGTCCACGGCGGGTTCGCGGGTTCGCTGGGGAGAGGCTTCTGTGGCTTTTAAAGTGACAGCAGCTGGCACGGAGTTGGAACAGATTTCTCACTGGAGCCTTTCAAATGTTTCATGTTCCATTTGCAGCAAGAGTGTGAAATTTATACTTTTCCGAGAAACAGAGAAGTTGCTGTAACTTGCTTGAGAATAAACAGTCATTTCAGTTGTTTTGGTTTGTCATTTCCATCTTTTCATGAGGAGAAGGGTATTAAACAGGTGGAGGATGTTAAGGCCCTCGGGCCTTTACAGGGGAATCTGACCCGGGGCCCCTGGAGCCCAGGCTGCTCAGGCATTTGCCTCCCTAAGCAGCCACTGGCAGTGAATTTGAATGCCATGCTGGCTGCCCCAGAGGTCACTTCCTGTTGGTCTCTGCCAGACCCATCCTGCCCTGGGACCTCACCTAAGGGACACCCTCCTCTCAACACCTCCCCACAACCCATCTGTGCCTCCTGAGGCTGCTCCTGTGGACCCACATGCTCACTCTGGGAGGTTCACGGACCTGCTCCTGCCACTCCCAGACCACGCTGCCACCCCTCTCACCCAGGGACTGGCCCCCTCCTGCCCCTCCACCATCCACTCTGCTCAGAGATGGATCCAGTCGCCGCCAGGATTCCCATTTCATTGAGAATAACATTTAAAATCCTCATCCAACTACTTCTCTGACTCCCTCTCCTCCTCCCTTACTCACTCCTCCCCAGATACACCGGCCCCTCCATTTCTTGAACACGCCATACATCACACCCATGCTGGGCCTGCACTTGCGGTCCCCTCTCTCTGACATGACCTTCCCAGGTTATCAGTGGGGCTCACTCCAAGATCTACTCAAATGTTTTCTCCAGGAGAAGTCTTCTCTGATCAGTCTTTAGAAAACAGCACTTTCCAGGCTCTCTCTCTTCCCTTAACTGGTTCTCTTCTTCACAGTACCTATCCGCACTCACCACACTCCATTACATGTTGTTCTGCGCATCATTGGTCAGCCCCTCCAGAATGTGAGTTTGGCACCTGGAACTTTCGTTTTTTTCACTGCTAGGTCTTCATTACTCAGAACAGAGTAGGTGCTCCAAAAGCATCTATCAAATGGACAAGCGAATGAGTCTAGCATCTGACCTGTCTGAATCTGTTTCTTCCTTTGTAAAGTGGGGTTGCTAAATATATTCCCCTCAGATGGCTATTGGCATGAAGTACTCAGCTCAGGGCCTGGAATATTATCAGGTGCTAAGTAAATGATGTTGAAAGGTAATTCCTTGAACATTTGCAGTGGCCGTGGCCTGTAGTAGACGCTGGTGATGTAGAGCTGAGTCCTCAAGGATCTCACAGTGCAGTGCGGTCATAAAGGACCCTGAATGAGAATAAGAAGTCTGACCTTAATTCTGTAGGCATCAGGGAGCCCCACAGCCTTCTGGAATAGAAACATGACACTATCTTTGAGAAGATAATTCGAAGTATATTCCAAAAGAGGCAGAAGGAGAAGAGCTGGTGGGCTGGTGATAGCATGTACTTCCTTCCCCCCACCCCAGCATGGTTAAGGCAGGCCCCGCCGGGGAGCGTTATGGATGTCCCAGCAATTCAAGTTGTCATCTCTGTCTATGCCTGTTCTGGAGGGACACTGTGGCTCTCTGGGTGTCATCCCTCCCTTTGGAAGCCCATCTGCCCAGGCCAGCTCATGCAGTTGTAAAGGGACCACAGGGAAGGCAACAGGATGGGAGTTCCCACTCAACACTTTGCTCCAATTTAAATCCTCTTCCTGACACTTCTGGGATGAGCAGCTAAGCCTGTGTAAATTCAACCAGCAAAATTATCCAATACAGCCTCCTAGTAGTCAGAGGGATCTTACTGAAACCTGACCCTGATCTTGTCAGCCCTCCGATGAAAGCCCTTCCATTGATTCCCACTGTGATGCCAATAAAAGCGAAATTGCCCGAGACCTCTGCCCATCTCTCCATCTCATCTGCTGCCATTCTGCTCTCACCACGCTCCAGCCTACTACCCTCTTTTCAGTTCCTCACATTTACAGCGTTCTTTCCTGCCTCTAGGCCTCTGCCCTTGCTTTCTCTCTGCTTCTCCTGGGCTGACTTCTCATTTTAAAGGGTCACCTTAGATGTCACTTTCTCGGGAAGGCCTCTTCTAAATACCCTTAATAAGGCAGCCCCCCATCTATGTTAGGTGGAGTCACGTTTTACAGGAATTAGATCCTTGAAGGCATTGAGGTAAGAAATGCATCAAGATTATCCCTGAAAGTCCTTAGAACCCCAAACAGCTCCACGATCTCTCACTGTCACCCCTTCAGGTCTTTGCTCAAATGTCACCTTCTCAGTGAAACCTTCCTGACCACCACTCTAAAACAAACACTCCCACCCCAGCATTTCGTAACCCCTTTGTTCCTTTACTCTTCTCCCTCCGCCAACCCCCACCCCATAGCTCACCATCTGACATACTATAAATTTTATTTAGAATTAAGCTCTTAAAGGCAGAGATTTGCTCACTGCCGGTCCTCAGTGCCTAGACTCTGCTCTATACATAGCTGTTCCGTAAGTAACTGTTGAATGAAGGAATCCTTCAGGTCTCAGCTTAGGTCTCTCCCTTTCGGCTAGGTAATGCTTCTTTAAGCATTCACAGTCTCCTTTATCTATCTACCCCTATTAGAAAACTGTTGAGGGATATCTGGGTGGCTCAGGCGGTTAAACGTCTGCCTTTCGCTCAGGTCATGATCCGAGGGTCCTGGGATGGAGTTAGCCCCATCCAGCTCCTTGCTCAGCGGGGAGCCTGCCTCTCTTCCTTTCTCTGACAAAATGATTTTAAAAACCCCAACAAACAGAACTGTTGATCACAAGGTAATTTTCTCTGCATTTGTTAATCTCACAAAGATAGGGAGCTTCTCCTAACTGCCAGTGTCACCTGGAGCCTGGGTTTATGCTTGGTAGAGTAGGTGCTTAGTGTCTTTTGAACAAACTAGTCTTGGAGGGCGAGGGGAGAAGGTTGGGCATCTGGGCCCTTCAGCTCAGCTTCCCCGCAGCAGCCTTTACCCCGCAGAGTGCCGACCACGGACCGGCACGGGCTGGGGTTCCTGCAGGCCAGCTCAGCGTCGCACGCAGCCGGAGTGAGGGCGACACACGTGTGAGCCTTAGCAGGGAACGCATACAGAGTGCCTCCGTAGCTATTTCTACTCTTCCACTCAGCTGGGTGACCCTGGCCGAGGCCTGTCGGATAGATGTGGATTCGGATAAACAAAGGACTTTTTTTTTTTTTTTTTTTTTTGGTAAGGAAACGTTATGTCCGGACACTATGTGGGCTATTCTTACAGAGAGCCGTTACTTGTGGTTTACCTGAAATTCAGCTCTAACTGGGCTTCCTGCATTGTATTTGCGAACGCTGGTAACCTGACCCTGTCTGGGTTTCGTTTTCCCCATCTGTGAAACGGGGCTATTTCTGCAAGACCGGCCTCGAGGGTCTCCCCAGGCAGAGCAAAGGCCCCCCGACCGCCCCGCCCCCGGCGCCGTCCCTCTGCTGAGTCGCGTGCGAGCGCGCTGGTCTCGGGAGAGTTTCTCGCCCGAATGTGCAAGTGAATACGTGCAAGGCCCTTCCTCCGGGAGCTCGGTTTTCTCACTGAACAAACGATGGGCGGAAACCATTCTCTCCGCCTCGGCCCCATCAAACCTCAAACGCCCGGCTTCCAGCCGCCGCGGCCGCGGATTTCCGGTAGCGTGACGTCTCTTCCGTGCCAGAGAGCCTCCTCGGCTTCGAGCCCTGCGCTCTCGTGCTCTCTGCCGGCCCGGAGGAGGAACTGACTTTACCAAACGAAAGAGCGGACTCCACTGGTTGAAAGACCGACGCCGCTACCAGTCTCCACCAATGGAAAACCGAACCTTCGTCGTGGGCGGGGCTCCCACAGGAAAGGGGTCAGCCCGGGACGAAAGCGGCGTGGGAAGGCGGCGACCGGGTCTCCGCCGGGCGAGAAAGGGTCGAAGTGACACCGGAAGTGGGCTTATTACCCACCCGCTACTTCCGCCTCACTTACAAAGTGGGAGGATCCTAGAGGAAACGACCTGATTGCCGTAGGGCGCTGGGATGCTCGGCTCAGGTGTCCGCCCTGCCCATCCGTTTCATATCTAAGAGACACCTGATGAGTTCACGCAGAAAATCAGGGACTTTGAACGCATTCTTGACCTGGAGGACAAGCTGTTTTTACGTTTTAAAATAATAAAGATTTCTGAGTTATGGCTGTGTGCCTTGCCCTGCTCTTCCCCCCGCCCCCCACTCGCTTTATTTCATTTAATCCGCACAAGCCTGTGAAGTTATTCTGACGGATCCCCACCCCTCACTGCCTATAGGAATCCTGGTTCTGTTGTTCTTGCCCGTTTCCTGGGGCAAGTTCAGATTTTTTGCCACGGTTTCTGCGTCTGTGAAATGGAATAGTTGCACTTATCTTATACGGTTGTTAACGAGTATTTAAAACACTTAAAACTCCACCTGACTTTCTAATATAGCAACTCCTTAGGTTACTTCAATTTACGAGTTAGGAGACTAAGGCTTCGATAGGACGGAGCTTGGCTGGAACAGATAGTATTCCCTGAAGGCAGGCTGGGAAGCATCTCGGCCTGCCCTGGGGGAAATTCTCAATCCTATTCACACAGCCCTGCGGAAGCTTGCGGGGACCACAATTGCTTTTACACTAGCCTATGTATCTAGTAGGACCCTATTACCAAATGGCTGCTCTCTGGGCGTTTTAATAACGTCAATTAAGATGGTGAAGTTCAATAACTTGTTTTGTACATCCCCAATTAAGAGGGTGAGGCTACAAGATCCATCTGCTAAATCCCATTAGTATGAAAATCAGCAGAAATGAACTTCTGGCAGCGCCTGGGTGGCTAAATCGGTTAAGCCGCTGCCTTTGGCTCTGGTCATGACCTTGGGTTCCTGGGATTGAACTCCGCAGTGGGTTCCCTGCCAGCTGGGGGTCTGTTTTTCCCTCTCCTTCTGTCCCTCCCTTTGCTCGCTCTCTCTCTCTTAAATAAAATAAAATAAAATAAAATAAAATAAAATAAAATAAATAACATCTTTTTAAAAAATGACCTTCTGAACACGTGAGGTTTAAGATCATGTGAGATGTATGAATGGGGATAATAATGATTAGTTGTGGTAGGCGCTGTTAGTGGAAAGCGCAGGATGCCCAGGGAGGTCTGA